CTTTTCAATTCTAGAATAATTGATATTGGGGCATTCAACCAGAAAGAGCCATTCTAGTGAATTTACTATTATTATCATTATCATAGACAGCCTTGCTTGCCTGCATTAGTCAACTCTCCATTAATGTAACAAATACATGAGAAAGTTCTTTATGAGAAGGAAAGTTTTACTTTGTCTTACAGTTTCAGTCCATGTTCAGTTGGCCCATTGCTTCTCACTTCATTGTAGCTGAGAAATATGAGAGAGAGAGAGAGACAGAGAGAGAGAGAGGCGCTCTGGAATCTCAAAATCCTCTTCAAGGGCATGCTTTCCCAGGGAACTAACTTCTTCCCCCCAGGCCCCACCCCTTAAAGGCCCCACCACCTCCCACCTCCCAATAGTACCATGGGCGGGAATAGTACCATGGGACCAAGCCTTTAACACATGGGCCTTTGGGGGACACTTATCCAAACATAGTGTGGCCTATTCACAGTAGTGATGATTTCAGTTACTTTAAGACCCACAATTTACTAGAAACAAATACATTATTTGTAACATTGTTTTCTTTCTGTACTCCCAGTAATGGACCTCCTATTTCTCATCAGCTCCATTTTGTATTCCCAGGATAGACAAGCCTGGACTTAAAAGCCCAGTGATGAGAATGTCAGCAGAGTGAAGGATGGGGCCATCTTCCTGAGTAACTCTGGCAGTATTGAAGTAAACATAACTCATATTGCATCCCAATACTCAAGCCCTAAATTAGCCACAAAATGTCTGAGACTGGGAGTCTGCATAACCGAAATTGGGGATGTGAGGGCGATCTGGCTGAAACATCTGTCACCCCATTGATCACCATGGTTGATTCGGCTGATCTGGCTGACTAGGCAGGTGTCCCCTTCCTCCCTCACTGTCCCATGTGCATCCCTCCCCAAGTTGCACACTTGGTCAAAGAGGATAACCAACCCCAAAAGAGAAGGACTATAACCGGAAATGGGAGCTCCCATTATGGAATCCTATGAAGGGGGCTGTTTGAGGGCCTACACAGTTGAAAAGAGATGTATTAAATTCAATCCTTTGAAGGAACAGAAATAGGCAAGAGTAGCCTTGGTACAGTGAGTAGTCTCTACAGTTAATCTTATAAAAGTGCAAGCTACAGAGACAACATGATTTCCTCTGCTCTTTTGAAGCTTATGCAAATCTTTTTAAAGGTAAAATAAACCTTTTAATGGGATGAAAACCCAGGACTTTTTCTGAAGGACCTGGAGCCATCTTTTTCAAGTATAAACATCAAGGAAACCAGTACTCTATCACCCTGTCACAAAAGAGGTGTTAGCCTGGGTACTTAGACTATGCGTTTGTCCGAGAAATTTTATACATGACAGAAGTATGCTTAAGCCTGTCCCCCAAATAGGTTTTTTTAAGTTCTTCAACCCAATCTTCCTCCAGAGGCAAAAAAATATAAAACTAGCCCATCAACTGTACATATTAAAATTTTTCTTTTACAAGAAAAAATATATTTGCACATCTTAGCAGTTCATGTTATATTGACCAATTTGTTTCATTTTCAGGGACTATCCATTTCCTATACATAAGAACCCAGTAGATATCCAGTGGTATTTTTACCCTAAAGGACAAAATGTCTGATTTAACTTTTTTCTTTTGTTGTATTTTTAAAGAAGATATTCCATTTGTAAATTCAAGTTTGATTGGCCCTTTTTAATCCTTTTGCTCAATATTTTGAACACTTCTGTTTTTTTCTTTGTGTAGAGCCTTTGAGCTTCTCTCTCTTGTTTTCTCTTCTTGAATTGTTTCTTAGCAGCATGCTTAGCTTGTACCTGCTCATATTCTTCTTGTGCTTTCTGACTGGATTTTTTCTTTTTCTTTTTATTTGGAACAGTCATGGAATTTACTTTTTTGCTACATTGTTTTTCTGGCTGAGGCTAATGACATTGGTCTTCAGACAAAGCATGGCCAACTCTACACTGTTAATTCAGGCAAAAATTGATTGACTTTTTCTTCTGACAATGCTGTTTTTGTTTTGTTTTGTTTTGTTTTGTTGCTTCCTGAGTCTTTCCTGTTCAGCTAAATAGAGATGTTTCAAGTGATCTGGGTACTGATCTGTGAATTGGGATTCCTGTGATGTTCCAGCTTTCTTTTCCTTTCATAGAAATTTCTTGTAATTTTGCTAAATCTTCAATTTTCTCTGAAATGCAAAGTCTTGTCCCTCGCAAACGCCTCCCATGAAGGCCTGTGGATGGTTAGACTGTAAAGTCCTCCGTTTCACATTCTTATTCTTGAATCTGACCTGAGAAACCTCCTCACCTCACATCTCAAAACCTCTACTCTGCCACCTCGCTGCCGGGCCAATAAGGTGGAATTTCTTTTTCCTTTTTAATTGCATTAGCAAATTACACATGATGCATCCCAGTCTTGCTAAATGCATATTCAATAGCAGAACTCTTTTCTTTGTTTTCCACATTGATGGAGAGGATATTCTGGGTTGGCAGGAGACTTTATGTAAAAAATCATTTCCCTCAACAGCACAAAATCTGCCTTCCAAGTGATTGTAGGCGACAGTTTAGCAAATGTTTTGTCACGATATAACATGGGCCCAGCCATGTGTTTCCTTACTGCTCATCACTCAACCAGGAATGTTTTAGGTGTTTGTTATGGAATCATTCCATTTCACGAGCACATTTCTGGGTTAGTTAGGGTACAGGAGGCAATGGTACAGTAAGAAATCAGCCTAGAGGGGTCACCACTTAATGTAGTAAGAGTTGGTTTCCAGCTCCCAGCACAGTGTCATGCAGGTCAATGGCCTTGGGGCTCCTGCTCCATGTAGCTACAGTACTTCAGGATCCAGCTTCCTTTGGTCTTGTGCTACTGCCATCCTCAGTGGGATAGAGGCCCCAGCAAAGGCTTTAACAGCAAAGTAAATCACCAAATCTCTATCCAGACACTTGACATATGAGAAGCTTAGAGTTGGTAACTTTAATAGGTCAGAGAAGGAAAACTAGCCAGATCTAAGCATGCCATAGAGATCTTGGCCACAGAGTTACCTCTGGTGAATTATAGAACTGATGCTAAAAGCTTGGTGGTATTTTTTGAACATGATATAAGTATGTCCCCAAGAATCCATGTGTTAGAAGCTAAATACCCCATTTAGCTATACTAAAAGCACCTTTAAAAAGTGGGACCTAGTGGAAGGTCATTAGATCATTGGGGACATGGCCTTAAGAAGGGATTAGTATAGTTTCCATGGCTTCCTGGCTTGCCATGTGAGCTCTCCCTCTTGTGCATCTTACCATCATGTCATGTCAACCACCAGAGCATCCTCACTAGAGCTGAGCTGATGCTGGCACCATGCCCTTGAACCTCCAAAACTGTAAGCCAAGTAAACCTCTTTTTTTTTATAAAGCCCACAACCTCAGGTATTTCATTATAGAAACAAAAAGGAAATCATATACTTAGGAAGCCACATAGCAGGGGTTGGGATCAAAGTGAAGGCTCTGTCAAGTAAGGGATTTGCCATCAGAAATCTTGGGTTTGAGTCCTAGCTTATCTCTGACTAGTTGTTTCTACTGAGATATGTCATTTCTCCAGGCTTTGGTGTCCTCCTCTGTAAAAATGTGTCCTCTACATATTGCATAAGATGGTTCTAAGGCTTAAGGGAGATGGTGCTTGGGGAAATGCTTTGGTAGCTATGAGGCACAAGAAATACCACTGAGTATTACTCATCATGTCGCTGCCAAAGCTTCCCCAGCTGGGCCAACCTCTCCCCATCTGTTCAAAGAGCAAGAAGTTGATTGTGAGCCTCTGTTCCAATGCTTCTGGGGGAGGGGGTTCTAGCCACCATCACCCTGTGAGTCCTCAGAGGCCCTCCCATGCCTGCCAGCCCAACCTCCCAGAGGTTTTGTAGCTCATGTGTCCACCAGATGATGATGGAAGAACTCACAGAGATGCTTCCAGAAGACCTTTCTCCACAAACACTGCACAAAGTCTAAACCCTGTCCCCACCCCTGGCCCAGTTTCCAAAAGAGAGTCACCCTCATCCATCTTTACTGCACCCACCCCCACCAGGGATTTAGGATTTCTCTACATTATGTATTTTGTCCCCAGCCTGTTAATTGCAATTTTGACTGTTAAGGCATCTGTCTTAGACCATATGCCCCACCTCTGCCACCTCTAATCTCCCAGAGCTGGACCTAGTCAATAAGAAGAAGCATCCAAAATGGAATGTCTCAATTTCAGCGGAGCTGATCTTAACAAAATGTCTTAGGATGTCGGTGTCTGTGGGTAGTGCCAGACTGGACTTCAGGGCTCCCCTGCTTCTTTGTTGTCAGCTAGGCAGCTTACTCAAGACTTCCCCTCCCAAGACTTGCATCTATAAAATCCAAAGTTTGGATACAGTGACCACTGTTGTAACTTTTAGATAGGGAGTAGAGGCTGGAAGGAGAATCAGGCTGGTGAACTCCCAGCTGGTTGAGCCCTGCCCAATGGGTCCTGAGTCTCCTTTTTGGGGGGTCTTACTAAGACCTCCCTGATGATGCCTCTATTCTGTCCTCTGTGGGGACATACATATGCCAGCTGATATTTGTTTGCAATGTCATCTGAGGTAGTGTTTCTGAGGAGAGACAAGAGGAACAGGACCTTGCCAAGTCCTAGTGGAGAAGCCTACAAAGATGGCTATGAACCTGCCCTTTGGCCTGAGCCCTCCTGCCACTGACAAACATGAGCCTCTGATGCTCCACAGGTCACTTTTAAATTTCAGTGTCCCTTTTCCATCATCCATCCAATAATGGAACTGCTTGATCCACACCTCCATACACACTCTGAGGTCCTCTGGGGGCAGAAATTTTTTTTTTTTTTTGGAACCCGAGATCAAACTCAGAACCTTGCACTTGCGAGGCAGGTGCAGTGCCACTGAGCTACATCCCCGTATGTCATCCCCCCCCACACCTTTTTTTTATACTGGAGATAGAATTCTTTTAGTAACGTACTGGGAAGCTAATGTTCATGTACACACATTTTATTTTTTCATAAAATAAGGGGTCGTGTGCCCAGCATATTTTACACTTTAGTAGCCCAAAAGTCTTCCTAGTAGGATTTTCTGTCTTCCAGAGAGAAGCTCCTCACCCCCAAATTCCCCATGGAGCTGGTATTAGGAGAGCAGCATCAAGAGATCTTCTAAGACAGAGCAAAGTGGTCTCTCACAAGCTCAAGGGAGAAACAACATGTTTAAAGATAGAATCTGTTCCCTTTGGTTTCCTTTATGAGGCTTTGATAGAATCTGGAATAGACTAGTTTAGCTCAGAATGCAACTGAAGTGTGATTCTTTGGCATTTAATCTGTTGTGGTGAGGGCATTCCACAAAGAACACGGGCACTCCTCTGTCTGAACAGATTTGACAAAAGGCATGAGCCCAAGTTGGGTTCAGGGCCACTCAGGATGCACACACAGCTGCCAGGCTGCGAGGGGAGGGCAGGCAGCCCACCTTAGTCCTGTAGGAGTAGCTTTGGAATGCATCTGGGAGCAAATGTTTCTACTGTGGGTTTTCAGCCACCATCTCTCATAACCTGCCTCACTGGTTTGGCCCAGGCTCCCTTCCTCTTTCCCTCCCAACCCTGTCAGTGCTCCTCACTCCTGAACGCCAAAGTTGATCATATCAGTCATGCCAGGGACTATTCCATCTGTGAAATGACAGGGCTGTTGACCCAGGGTTGACTTGCAGGATAGCACTGCTCATCTTTGCTCCAATCCACCATCATCTGGGGAAATAAACTAGAGAGGGAAGGATGGAGCCTCACTCATAGCAGAAACCCCAGGGTCAAGTTTACCTAGGACCAGGACAGCAGCAGATCAATAATCATCTACAACCAGAAACAGACCCTATGCTCTACTTGCTGGCTGCCTTCTGGCCCCGGGAAACCTCCCCAAGTTCCTATATGTACCTTGAGTCCCCAGCTTGGCCAGTGCCCAGACAGTGGGCATTCAACAGGGGCAGTGCGGTACATGTGGGCCCCTTAAAATCTCTGCATTGCCCCACCCTAACCCCCTACTTTCTCCCCAACCTCACATCTCTCCCATTCTTCAACATTTCTTGGGCTGTCACTCTTCCTGGAGAAGGGGCTCTCGGTCTCCTCCCTGCACCCTCTCATCTTCTTCCTTCTCCATGCAGCCCACAGTGGCAGCCAGCCCAGCACCCACACCACCCCCCACCACAGCGGCCCCCGTCGCCCCCACTGCTGCCCCTGCTGCCACCATCCCAGCCTCTGCTGCCAGAGCAGCCGCAGCCATGCCCGCACCCACAACGCCCCCCGCCAGGCCCATAAGCCCAGCTCCCACAGCGCCCCCAACTGCAGCCAGGTGGCCACAAAAGCGCATAGTGTAGGAGTCCATGAAGGCCTTGGCCTTGGCCTGCAGCTCAGCCTCCAGGGCTTCTAAGGTCTGCTCACGCTCCTTGCACAGCAAAGCCACTCCATGACGGGCCAAGATGGCATCCTTCTGGGAGGAGAGCAGGTTCCGCATGGTGTCTGGCAGGACCCGGAGTGCAGAGAAGATGCGCTTGGTGGCTACATCCTGTGGTGACAGGAAGAGGGAACAAGGTGGTCCAACTGGGAGACCCAGGAATCTCCACCCCAGAACCTGGCCAGCCCCTGCCTCCCCTGCAAGCCCGGGACTCACCTGCTGCCTCACATACTCCTCAAACTCCTTCTTGGCGACTTCCACTTTCCTCAAGTCATGCAGCTGAGCAGCCATCTGTCCATGGGAAAGCCCTGGCTGCCTCCCTCCTTCCTCCTTGGCCTGGCCACCTGTTCCTCATCTCTACTCCCAGGCACAAACCCCCACCCCCAGAGCTCAGCCCAGACCCCCCCCCCACACCTGCCTCCCTCCCAGACACCCACCCTTAGGGGGAAGGGGAGCTCCATACCTCATCGGGAGAGCTGAAGCCGGGCCCTGTCCTCCCCATCCAGCCTGAGAGGTTCTGTAGAGACACCACCACTGGGTCAGGGAGAGCAGGGACCTGCTGAGCGCTGGGGCTCCAGGGAGTTTTCACACCTTGATCTCCTGAGCTAGCTGCTGCCCGGTGAGCAGGCGTCTGTCTCCTCTGGCCACGGTGCGCCCCTCACTCCAGTAGCCCTGGCAGCGGCTCTTAGCGTGCTGGGGGACTGCGCTCAGCACATCCAAGACATAGGGCCACAGAAGGTGGTGGAAATCATCATCTGTGTCTAAGAAGAGATTCTTCATACTGAGGAGACCAGGGCTTTTCAAGGTGAAGGGCTTGGGAGGACTGGATACTGCAGAGGGTTTCAGGGAGTGGAGCTAGGGAGCAATGCACAGAGGACTTTGCCTTAGGGACACTCACCACCTCCTGGGCTTCCTCGGCCTTTGTTCATCCACCGCCTCCCTGGAGAGGGCAGGAGGTAACAGCGGGCTCGGTTCCCTAGGAGGAGTTCCTGGACCTTGGGATATTTGCCGGACAACTTCTGAGAGAAGGATGGAGGAGGGCACTCATCCAGGGGCCTAGCCTCCCCTCTGAGCACCCTTCTAGGGGCCCTTCCGGCCTCTCTGCTCTCAGCATGCCTTCCAACCCTTCCTTCTGCACTGCTCACCTGGAGGATGTCACCCACGAGACCCTTCCCTGCCTTGTTGGAGTGAGATGAGTCACGAACTAAGAGGTCCAGATGCTGAAAGAGAAAGAGCCCTGATAGCAGCAGCTGGGGAGTGTCAGGGTTTAGGCTGATGAGTCCAGAACAAATGTCTCACCTGGATTGGTACCATTCCGTAATGCCTGCCCATAACCTCAGCCACGTGGACGAACATCTGGGGGTGGATACAGAATATCAGAGTGGGCCCTCCAAAGGCTACAGTTTGTCTCAAGCTATCTCTCCACTTCCCTATGCCTGTCTGTAGGAGTCAAGCTTCCCACTTCCCAGCTCTGGGATTCTCTTGTCTCTCCCCACACCAGGCATCTTGTGCTGCACCCTCCACCATCAAACCCACCAACCCAGTTCAAGGGCCATAAAACTCTGGGCTAGACTGGGAAGACTCTAGTTTCCTCTGGCCGAGACCCCTAGCCTTAGGTCAGGGGTGGGTTGTGCCCAACTCTCCTCACCTCCAGGTAGTCCAGATCTATGTTCTTTAGTTCCTGGGAGCTGTTCAGGATCTGGAGTCAAGGAGAACAGGATGCAGGAGGGTGTGCACAGAGGCCAAATGCTGCTGGGAAGGCCCTATGAGGAGGACCTCCCAGCAGCTGCAGGCCTCAGAACACGGGATGGGCCCGGCCTGAGGCCTCTGGATGCAGGCAAGTTATCTATACCTCCCAGCCTGCAGTGGACTTGGGATCCTGCAGACCTTCAGTTCCCCACACCCTACCCCCATAACCAAGGATCATCTGCCCACCCATGCTCCCACCTTCACAGACTATGAGCATCTTCCCCCTTCCAGGGCCACAACCAGAACCTACAGGGACCCCAGATACCAAAGCCTGTGAGATGCCCTCAGCCTTAAGAAAACTGAGCTAGGGAAGGGCACTCAGGATGAAGGCTGACTTCCATGCCTCTCTCACCTGGTAGGAGCTCAGCATCGTGGTGAGAGCGCAAAGTTTGATCCTTGTTTCCCTGCTCAGCTCAGGACTCATGGCATCCCCTGCATCCACTAGGAACACAGCCACCTATGCAGGGGGTGCAGAGGGTGAGCCAAGGGGTCAGGTGTGCTCCCTGGACCCGTCTTCTTGTACTTACCCCAAAGCCTCAAAACATTCCTTCTTGATTCCCCTCTCCTCTTTGTCTGTCTCTCTCTCTCCCCCATCTCTTCCCACACCTTGCCTCTGTGATCTAACCCTAACTTCCTTCTTCCCTTCCTCCTCTCACCTTCTTCCCCTCTTTCCCCAGCAAGAAGGGGTGGCTCCACATCCATATGCCCCTGCTGAGGCCATTGGCACCCCATCTGAACCCCTGCAGGGACCCTTCTCCTCCTCTGGACCAGCTGCCCTCACCACCAGGCTCCTGCAGGCAGAGAAGGGAGCATCAGGTGGTCCATTCCAGGTCCATGGAGACTGGGTTTCATGCTCAGCTCCTCACCCATAGCCAACCCAGGACTTCTGCTTCCTCCCCCCGCCCCCCACCCCCAGCCTCCAGCCAGCCCTGCCCTCACCAAGCTTGGCAAGCCCTGGAGCAAGTGGTCAAGGAGGGAGGACTTCCCTGAGTGCTGCTCCCCCAGGACGGCAAGGAGGCAGACAGGGGTGTCCCTGGCCAGGGGGTGCTTCAGGCAGCGGTTGATGGCCCCCATCCTGAGGATGAGGCCCCCCGAGGCATTGATGCGCACCAGCAGCAGAGGTTCTGCCCTCACTGAACAGCTCTCCTGGACAGGAGAAAAGGGTCCACTGAGCATCCAGAACAGACCCACATCTGGAGTGTGTCCAGCCTGGGACTCCATGCCCTGTCCTGGCATTCTCGAACAGCGCCAAAGCCACTCTTCTTCTTTGTCTGACCCAGAGACCTCCACACACCCTACCCCACAGGGAGGCCTGGTCCAGGCACCTGCAGCGCAGGGGGCAATGGCCGCTGCGGAAGGAGCCTCATCTTCTCCCCCAGACTGCGGAGGCCCTTCTTCTGCTTGCAGATCTTCCGGCACTCGGGGCAGCAGGGTGGCTCGCAGCCAGGGACACGGTGTGTGCTGAAGCACCGAATGCAGAAGTCATGGCCACAGGCCAGTGAGATGGGCTCACGCAGCCTCTCCAGGCAGATGGAGCAGGCAGGCAGCTCCTGGGGTGCAGTCACTCGGGGCCCCAGACCCAGCTCCAACTTGGGGAATGGTGCATGGGACCTGGGAGAAGGATAGGCCATTTAAAATCAGAGTGTTTATCAGGGGCAGGGTTTTGGGGGTCCGGCTGATGACTGGGGGTGGGGCTCCCTCAGTGCCACTTCAGTTTTCCTTAGGGCTTCCCTGGACTGCTTCCTTGTTCCCAGAGGAGCTGAGCTCTGCCCATTCTTCACTCACTCACATCCCATGCCCAGATGCCCCAAGAGTCAGGGAAGCAGAGCAATGGTGAGAGGGTACCTAAGAGTGAGAAAGCTGGCTCTGACCGCCACATCCTATAGTGGGCAAGGTCCTTTCCCACTCTGGGTCACAATTTCCTAATTGTGCAGTGGAGAGGTTAGCAGAACCCAGCTCATGGGTATGGGGGCAGTCATCTGACATGACATGTGTGCCTGGTACCCACACTTGGGAAAATCCTCTCCCCAGCCCTGTGCAGCAGGGTCCCTCAAGGAAGTGCTGACTTGGGCCAGATCCCTCAAGGAGTGATAAACTCCAAGCCTCTGCTGCTGGGACACTAAGAGACTGTGGAAGCCTCCTGGTCCCCAAGCAGCCTGTTATGCAGTTGAGCAGATGGGTCTGGCTCTTAGAGAATTTCTTCCATTCTCTGAGCTGAGCATCTGCCTCCCTGTAGCACCCACCTGCTTGTCCCTGTCCACCCCTCCACAGCCTGGCTGATCCAGCCTGCCACACCCTCCCCATGGAGAGCCCTACGGAGCCTCAGCTGGCTGGGCCTGGCCACAGGACTCCATGCTCCTGGTTCAGCCATTTCCAGCTGACCCGCCAGGCCCACTGCACCAATCCCAGCCCAGCAGGCCCCGCTGCTCACCAACTGTTGCTGCTGTTTCTCATGAAGCTCCGTTTTCTCTCCTGGAAGGTGGGGGGTTAGGTTTAAAACAGAATTCAGATTGCTTTCTTCATCCTGGGTTTCCAGGGGCCCCTCCTCCCCTTCCCCAGACCCATCCCCCACTCCAGGTGGCTCCTTCCCACCCCCAGCCTCCTCCCCAGATCTGAGGACTGAAGACTTGCCCGTTTGCCAAGCCGATGACAAAAGGAAGTGACTGACAAGCTGGGCCTCGGCATGGGAGGCTGAGATGGGAGAGGGTCTGCCACGGAGCGAGGAGAACCCTAGACCTTCAGACGGAGGTGAGGTTAGCCTTTCCTGAAGAGCTGGCTGAGCTGTGGCAGGTGGAAGGAGGGACAGGGGACCGTCTCCCCAAGGAGCTGACTCTCTGTCAGAGCTGGAGAATCAATGTGCCTGTGGGTCGACTGGTCCCGAAAGAGGAGGCTGCCGCTGGACTCACCCCAGGGGGAGGAGACAGGGCTTCGGGTACAAGGCTTCAGAGGAGGGAGGGAGCCCAGCTCCAAATCCCTGGCAGGGGCTGGGATGCAGGCAAGCTGAGGTGGTGAGTCGCCATGGAGACGGAAGGGAAAGATAAGGACAAGGAGGGGGAGGGGGACGGAGAGAGAGAGAAGCCATGTGAGTGCGCAGCAAAAAGAAAAGAGGCTCTAGGTGTAACCATGGATCAGTACTTCTTTTACTGGGCCAGACAGGGTCCTTCAGAGCCACGCGGCAGGCAGGGTGGGCAAAGAGAAAAGATGCGGGAACAGCAGAGAAGGCAACTGGCATGGGCCAAACCCAAGAGGCTATTGGTCTATTTGTTCCTATAACCTACTTTCCTTGAGCCGCACCACGTGAGGCCTTCAGGATACCATAAGGTTGCATGTGGCTCTGTATATCCTACCACCTTCCCCCAGGGGTACATCACTGATCAGTCTCAGCTGCAACCTTCCTCAGTACCCTTGGGTCCTGCATGCCCCTGGTCTTTCCCTCCTTTTGTGAAGAGCCACTTCTGGACCTTGTTACTGCCCCTTGACTGGGCCCCTTGACTGGTCCCCTCACCTGCTCCCATCCACTCTCTACTGCGCAGCCAGCATAGATGTTCCTTGCACAGGTGAATCCAACACTGGTCAAACACCTTCCGGGGCTCCCTACCACTATCAGAGCATAATCCAAACTACCCAGCCTACATTCCCAGGCCTGAATCTTCTCTAAGCTTTCCTCTCACCAAGCCCTTCCTTACCTCTGTCTATTCCTCCTCATTCCTCCTGAGACACCCTCCCCTACCTCTTTCAGGCACCATGGCCTCCCTGGAGCCTCCTTGCCTCCAGACTGATGTGATGTGCATTCAGGTGACTATGGCTTGGAAAGCTAACTCCTGACAGGTTGGATGCAGCTGAGTCTTTGGACTATGGTGGATCTAGGCTCAATTCCCTGCTGAGCAGCCCTGAGTTCTTCACCTCTCTGAGCTCTGAGAGGACACAGTTAAATCTCAGGAAGTGAGATACAGAGGAGGTGGGGAGTAACGTAAGACCATACCCTGGAGAAGTTTAGTCCAGATGACCACCAGCAGGCAAGGATGCCTCAGAGGCTCACAGGGACAAGATGGCCACACTGAGCCAGGCCTGGTCTTGCAAGATGGACAATCCTCTGGAGATGGAGAAGTGACTTGAATGTCAGTGGAACCCATGAGGAGGGTTGTAGTAGGTGGTAGTCCTGAGTCTTGGGTGGGGACGCTGTGAGGGCAGAGTAAGTTTGGGATCCTAGAGCCAGACTCTATGATCATTGTGCCCTTCCATCCATTCATCCACCTTATGTGAGGTGCTAGAACACAGCCATGAGCACCTCAGTCACGGCCCTCAAGAACCTGCGTTGGATCAGAGAACTATGGGCCCATTGGGCCAGGTGTATCACTAACTTGCCTCAGGTAGGACCTCTGCCACCTGCCAATTAGCCAACCACTTGGTGGCCACTGGTGGCCATTGTTCCTGCCCAGGACAGTGTTGGCTATGTGTGGCATCACTGTGTGTGGACACTGTGTGGCTGTGTGTGGATTTGGGTAGGTCCAAGGAGCCCCACAGGAAGCCTCTATGTATCCCTGTGGGTCCACAACTCAGTAGCTGGAAAGACCGGGCTCCTCATAGGTGAGGTAGCCTGACGCTGCAACCTCATGCAGCACTTTCCCTCCTGCCTGTGGATCCACATGGCTACAAATCCACGTGGCCCACATCCAGCCCTCAGTCTCCAGATCTGAAGCCGAATGCTCCTAGTACCTGCTCTTCCTCTGCCTCCTTCCCCTGTGATAGGTTCCTGCTGGTCCAGCCCAAATGGCTTACCTCCTTGACCTCTGGTTTCAGCTTCTAAACTAGGAGGGGAGGACAGTGGAGAATGACTTAGAATAATGAGCCTCAGGAACCAAAAATAGAATCTTCCTGGCTAGTACTCTGTTTGGGTAGGTTTCTGGGACCCTAAGGTGGGCAAGAGACAGCTGCGCATGCGCACACACACACACACACACACACACACACACTATTCCACCTACCTCATATTGTGCGCACACACACTGTGTATACACATTCCTTCACCTTGTCTAGTAGACTCATAAGCACTCACACATGTGTATAGTCACAGACTCATAACTGTTCTTATACATACACACAAACATGCTCACATATTTACATACACAAACATATGTGTACCTCTAGGCCTCATACACATGCATACTTACACATGAGCTCACTCTTACTACTGTACAAACACAGACAACACACATCCTTACTCAACAGGTCTGTCCCAAGTACTTTATGCAGTGAACTTACCCTCAATAGTGCAGCCTGTGAGGGAAGTATATGTCACTCCCATTTTACAGATGAGGAAACTGAGGCACCAAGGGATTAAGTTTAAAGTCACACAACTAGGGGCCAGGGATTTAGCTTAGTGGTTCTGTCACCTGCCCCACAAGCGCAAGGACCCCAAGTTCAATCCCCGGTACCAAAAAAAAAAGTCACACAACTAAGTATTAGGCAGAATTGGAATCCAAACCCATCAGTCTTCCCAACCCAAGGACTTAACCATGATATTCTATAGTCTCTTTGGTGGCAACAATAACATCAATTATAATGTTAAGCCTGGGAAAGAATGTGTGGTCTGTCTGTGTCTCAGTTTGCAGTCACTTGCGGGGGATGGGGGGGGGGATTGGCCCCACCCAGTCTATATAGAGTATTGGAAGCAGACAATTGAGTTCTGGAGAGAATTCTGGCCCCAACTTGCTGTGTAACATTGGCCAAGTCTCTGAATTTCTCTTGGCCTCAGTTTCCTGAGGATGAGCTTGACAAGACTGGATGCCCGGTGATTGGAGTGTCCCTGCTGATCTCCCACTTCCTGGTCTGGAGCCTCCAGAGGGCAAGTCAGGCTGGTGCCCACCAGAGAGGCTGGCGTGGTGAGCACAGGATCCCTCCACTTCCTAGTGTTGCTACCTGATGCTCCTTAGCTCTGCCAGCAAGGTGTGGGCTGCAAGCCATCAGCCCCTTTCCCTCTGGACCATCCATGGGCTGGATGCAGTTCTCAGGGCCCATGTCCTTTTCCCAGAAGATCCAGCCATGTGTCTCCTCAGCCTCTGTCCTGCTACATAGGGATACTTCCTATTGGGTGACTAGCTGGGAGCAAGAGAAAGAAGGAAATCCAGATCCAGGGACCCTGGGGCTGTAAGTAATTAATACCCTCACCCTGTCATCACCCTGAACCCCAGTGCTCTTCTCAAACCACTCTCTGCTCTCCAAATGTCTCCCCAGCCATACCCACAATACGCTAAATATGAACAGCTCACTGCCTGTGCCCAAGGCAAGACTCTATCACTCCTCATTCTCTACTTTTCTCCAGAAATGTGCCCATCTGCCACTCCTGGGCAGGGAAATCTCTTTTACCATAGGTACCTGCAAAACAGCCCAGAATTTCTAATTACTAGGTAGGACAAGCCAGAAGGGGGACACCCAAGATATCCCAGATGCCTTCTAGGTAAGTAAGGGGTCTACCCACCTACCTATTCATCTATCCATCCATTCATTATCCACCTACAAATCCAACATTTTTTTCTCCACTTTTCCAATCATCCATTCAGGCATACACTGATTATCTGCCTATTAACCCACTCGGTCACTCATGCATTCATTATCTATGGGTATTCATGTGTGTATACCATTCATTTGCTGTATTATTTTAACTATCCGCTTTCCAACTACCTATTCATACATCTGTCCATATGTCCACACGTGGGTAATGTCTTCCATCTAGCCATCCCCAACCCACTCATCCAACCAGTCAGCCATACATCCCTCTACCCAACCACCTACCCGTATATACTCTTTCACCTATCACATGTGTACCTATCCACCATCCATTCTTACACTTATCCATTCATGCAAAGGTTCATCCATCTATGGATGTTACAATTACTTGTGGAACACTACACACCACGCATCACACTAGGCCCTGGAATACACTGATGAACTCTGAGGGTGACAAAAAGCTCAATGAGAAAGTACTAGGCAAAAAACTTTCTAATGAGGGAGAGTTGGGGAAGATGTTAGGAGAATCAAGCAAAGGACATGGGCAGCTGAGAAGGCTTCCTACACAAGCTACATTTGAAGGGTGAATGTGAGGTGGCCAGACAAAGGCACAGAGATGAGCAGACATTTCTAGCAGAGAAATCGGCCCATGCAAAGACCAAGAGGCACAAGATCAAAACCCTAGCCAGAATGGAGTTTGTGAAGCAAGGAGAAGTAAGGGGAATGAGCACTCACATAGACACAGAAGCCCTCCCACCATTGACATCATCCCTCAGCCACAGTGCCCCACCTCTAACCCACCCAGTGCTCTTTTAGAGCTCAGGAGACCCGCTGTCCTGAAGTCCACGGCTTTTAGGTACTGTCAGGTGTGAGCTGGGTGTGAGCTGGGTGTGGGGTGGGGTGGTGCCCTGGAGTGGGAAATAGATTGTAGAATCCCCACCTTCCTTGGTGGCCATCCCAACATGGCTGCCTTCATTTCAGGACCCTCACCCTGCCCCCAAAGTACAGCAGCCTCTGTTCTAAGTGCCTGCCATCCTCCTGCCCTCAGGCTCAGTGGGCCTCCCTGCTCTCCCTTGACCCTCACCTAGGCTGTGTCTGGACCATACCTCCACACATGAACAGGAGAGAGCCAGGCCTGAGTGGGTGGCCCCTAGGGGTCAGACCTCCTTCCAGTGCAGAAATGGGTCTTGGAGAAAGTAGGTGAGAACCAGGACCAGACATAGATAACAGAATTTGAGCAATGTCACATCTCACTGGCACTTTTAGTTTCAAATAAATATCAAGATAAGGCTGGGCATAGCATAGAATTCCTGCATTAAGAGGAAATATGGAAAAAAAAAAAAAAGAGGAAACAAGGATTCAGCTTTCTGGACAGTCCCTGCCAGGGGTCCTCAGCCTGTTCCCAGTACAAGTGGCCCCAGTTCTCCCCCAGGTCAGCCCCTAGAATGGCAAGGCCCATTTCAGGCTGTAGTCCAAACAGAAACATGGATGACTCGGAAGAGACAGCTATCAGTTCTGTCAGGCTCCCCACAAAAGAAGCCATGTGTCTCCAACCTACCCATGACCATAGCTACACAGTTGTAAGTGGGTGTCTATCTGGACCATCATGTCTGGGCTGGAGGTTGGGGAGGAGCAATCAGCAGGAGGGTCCAAACTCTATAGCTGGGCAGGAGACACAAGTAGAGACACAAGAAAGGCCAGGCCACATGTGGCTGTCAAAACCCTGCCCCTCAAAATGGCTTCACTCCTCTCCTGCTGCCAGCTTCTAGGGACTTCCATCAGCAACTGAGGGATACAGCTGAACTCCCCTTTCAAACACCCCCCTCCATCTGGTCTTGGGCTTCCCAAAATAACTAATAATAATGATATACAATTATCTGATATTTGCCTAGCAGTTTAGGGTTCACAGTATGTAGTCACAGAAGTTGTGACCATAATCAATTCCCGTAACACTGTGGCTAGTATCCTTGTTTTTCCAGTCAGGAAACTGTCAGAGTGCTGAGCAAACCTCAGCTCAGCAAACCTTCCAGCCCTGACTCCCAGGTTTGTGCCATCCCTCCTCCCCGGCCCCATGTGCTGAGGCCCCCACTACCACACTTCTGTCTGCCACTCCCTGTACCTGGCATGACCTCACTATTCAATGCCTGCTTACATGAGGCCCATACTTCAGGCCAGGTTGGCTCAGACTTCCTGCAGAGTACCTTGCGGGTCCTTTCCTTTCCTTCCCCAAACACATAAAATACCTTTTCTCCAAACACTTATAAAATAACTTTTATGTACCACACATGGTACTGTATGAAGGGGCTACAACAAATAAGATGTGATCTGCCAAGTAAAATGTAGAGGAAGCTATTGGTTGGGAATAATTCCCTGCAAAATGGAGTTTCCCCAGGTGAAGTTCACACCACCACACCAAAGCTAAGTGGTTT